GCACGTCCCTCCTCTAATTCCCCTCTTAATTCAACATGGCATGTCTAGACTCCATGGGTTTCTTTGGCAGATCAGGCAATACTGAATAAGAGTCAGGACATGGTGATACATGCCCTGTATTCCCTTGTCAGAGATAAATTGTGACTAGTCAGTCCTCCTTAGAATTCTCTGCAGCTGTGGGTGTTCAAGAAAACGAGTATGTAAAACTGCATGATGAAAAGATTGAATCTGAGAAGTAATGGTCAAACCTCAGATCAACCAGCCAAAAGGCAGTAATTTCAAAAATCATAATATTGTACATTGTGTTTCAGCTTTTCTCTTTTGAACCACAGATGAAGCTCTTGTGGTAATCTTTTAATAGTTTAAAAGAATAGTGAAGTTCAGAATCCAATGAGCTTTACTGGAATGCTGAGTGGCAAACTGGGTTTCTGTTTAATTCTTCAGTCAATGAAGAAAAAGAACAGGAGAAAAACTGTGGTATTTCCGGGAAAAGATTGTGAATGACATCAGGTGTGTTGATTTATAGTACTTATTTCTGTGTCAGCAATTAATTACAGTCATTGGTGCACATTTATGATGACTGGCTTTTACTTTCCTGTGGTTGTATGGGTAAACATTGTGGGAATGCCTCGTGTCCTCATTTTAAATACAATTTACTTTTAGTAACTCAGTCACCTCTTTCACAAATACACAGAGCAGGGGAAATGAAATAAAATAAACATTGGGGAATACTGAGGAATTCATCTTGTGAGAAGAGTCTTTTTTAAAAGAAAGGTTTTGATGAATGTCTTAAAAAGGATAAGTGCTTACTCAGCTTACATGGACAGTTTATGTAGGTTGAAAAGATAAATTCCTATGAGAGGAATTGCTCTTATAAATCCAGACAGAAGTTAAGAAGAGAGAGAAGGTGGACATTTTGCTGGTAGCAAGTGTGTTAATCAATTAATGACATGCTGTTTCCTACTCTGAGAACTGATATTCAGTAAACCATTTAGAATGATTGACCACAAAGTGCCAAATCACTTTCTCTGGCTTTCACTCACTCCTTTCCAGTATTAACACAATTAGTGTAGTACTTCCACAGCAGTTCTACCTCAAGGATCTCAACTGGACTAATCTGGTACTTAATGTACATAACTCGTATGTAACTGGGCTGTGGCCTCTGCTGCAGTACAGTACAGGTTGAGGACAACTCAGAAGGAACTGTACTACCCAGCAGGAGTCCCAGGAAGCCACGCTCGTGATTCCATAGTGCGATGCACTTTGAAGCCTTCAGCACCCATGTCAAACTTGCAAAGAGAAAGGATAGTGTAGAAGTTACTTACACAAGTTCTACTGTGTTCAAGCTGTAAGACTGCTAATTTTGCTGCATCACACTCTGTGGACTAATAATTCACTGCAATTTTGGGAGCATTTTCTGAATTACCTCTGGTATTCTGAGCAGCAGATTGATGTTAGCAGATCTAACCAACACCTAAGGTGTGTATGCAAAGTGAATTACTCCTTTTTAACAAAGTTAAGTCTAAATTAAAACTTTGAATCTTTTATGCTGAAAATTCTAGTTAACCATCAGAGTCTTGTGCTCTTTTTAGAGACCTCAGTAAACTGGAAATTAAATCTCTGGAAAAGCTGATCTGTAATACTGACTTTTTCCTTTCATTACAAACCTTTCCTAACAAATACATGTCCTGGGTTCAGCAGTAGCAGTCATTTTTCTCCTTCTTGGTAGCTGGTGCAGTGCTGTGCTTTGACTTTCGGCCTGGGAACAGAGCTGATAGCGATGTTTTGGTTTGGCCAAGGACTTTGTGAGCCTCATGCTCTGCCAGGGAGGAGGGGAAGCCGGGAGGAAGCAGAGACAGGACACCTGACCCAAACTGACCAAAGAGGTATTCCATACCACAGCACGTCATGCCCAGCATGTAACTGAGAGTTACCTGGAAGGGCTAGGACGGCAGGGTTGGAGGAGGTATTGGTGGGTGCTTGGTCTGGTGGGGTGGGGCGAATTATCGGTCGGCTGGTGGTGAGGTGTTGTATTCTCTTCCCTTGTTATTTCCTTTATCATTATTATTATTGGTGGTAGCAGCAGTGATTTGTGTTATACCTTAGTTAGTAAACTGTTCTTATCTCAACCTGTGGGAGTTGCATTCTTTTTGATTCTTCTCTCCATCCCTCCAGGAGTAGGGGGAAGGAAAGAAGGGGGGGGAGTGAGTGAACGAGTTGCCTGACTGGGTTTATTCAATAAACATAATCTTTATGACAATGCATAAAGATGTTTTGATGAACTCTACTTTTTTAGTTTTATGACTTCGTATAAATACATTTTTCCTCAGCATGAGTGCCTAAATAGATTATGCTCATGTGGAAATTAAACCTGCATGTAGCATTGATTTATTCTTGACGAAAACTTTACTATCATCACAGTCTCGTCACAAAAGGAACAGGTGTTAGCAGGCTCTAACTTTTGTTTACTGTAAAGTTAGTCTAGACAGATTCTATAAGGACCTTCCTACATCTTGATGGCTAAATCAAATTATTTAATAGTATTTAATAATAAAAATAAACACACTTGCAGAGTTTGCAGGCCCCAAGATTAGGACAAGAGCTCTCCAGGTGTCCTGGGTTCAGCAGTAGCAGTCATGCTTCTCCTTTGTGGCAGCTGGTGCAGTGCTGTGTTTTGACTTCCAGCCTGGGAACAGTGCTGGTGATACTGATGTTTTTGGTTGTTGCTAAGTGATGTTTACCCTGACCAAGGACTTTGTGAGGCTCATGCTCTGCCAGGGAGGAGGAGAAGCCGGGAGGAAGCAGAGACGGGGCGCCTGACCCAGGCGAGCCAAAGAGGTATTCCATACCACAGCACGTCATGCCCGGGGTGGGGGGTAACTGGGAATTACCCGGAAGGACACGGGCTTCTGGGTGGGACTCGTTTCTTGGCCAGTGGTATTGTATTCTCTTCCCTTGTTATTTTCTCTTATCATTGTTGTTGTTGGTAGTAGCGGTGGTGATTTGTGTTGTACATTGGTTGCTGGACTGTTCTTGTCTCAACCTGTGGGAGTTGCACTCTTTTGATCCTCCTCCCCGTTCCTCCGGGAGCGGGGAAGGGGAGAGCCCGGGGGGGGGGGGCCTCGATAGCTTTTAGCCCGGCACCACTCACTGGGAGTGAGTGAACAAGCTGTCTGGCTAGGGTTTAAACCATGACACCAGGACACAGATGATCACTGGTAAGCATTTTGTACAATGCCTGATAACAGCTTGGACCCAACCGAGTTAAATATTCGTGCAGTTTTACACCCTTTGCTTTTTTTTGATTCTAACTCGGAGGTGACAATGGCTGATCATTGCAGTGGCATGGTGGTTTAGATGTAAGAATGCCTCCAGTTTAGATTTGTAATACAGGTGGTAAATCATCTGCCTAATACATGGTGTTTGTGGGGCTACATAAAACTTTCAGGTAACTGCAAATACAGCTGGAATAAACAGAAGCTTGGAGTCCCAATTAAGACTCATGTGCCCCAAAGCTTGTTCATTTTTTCTTACTGCATCAGTTAGTGTGACAGAACATTTCACCTTGCTTCATAAACCTCATACAGCTTCTATTACCCAACTGTCACAATTACAACAAGCTAACAGCTGCTTATTTTGGAGAACTACATAGGCACTTTCATATATCACAAATACAGCTTGGAGATGTAGGCAAGAGATGGCAAAAGCTCAGAGTAATGCTATACCTGCTTAACAATGTATTCCTGAATGGAAAGACTATTATAATCCCAGCAAAAGTACCTTTTGCAGAACAAAATGTGGTCTGTAGTGCTGATGATTACTGTGTTTAAGTAAATGCTCTCTCAAAGAGTATTTTCCTTTTAACTGATCCTACTGCTGAAACCCTACTGGTTCACAATAGCTTGTTGTCATGGATGGGTAATGATGTCACACATCCTGCCCTGTGTCCATGCTAGAAAATAAACGAGAATGCTTTTTTTTTTAATGACTAGGAGTTACTTAGCAATTCTCTGGAAGGGCTGAAGTGAATTACAAGTAAGAAAAACAGGATGCCCTATTGACCCTACCTGCACTGTATCTTCATGCAAGCGAAGTGACGCAGTAAAACTCCATAGTAAATGCTCTGCAGATTTAAAAACAAGGTTGTGCTTCTGCAAATTACCTTGTTATCCAACAGATTTCAGTGGGCTGAAGATAAGCAAGAGGCTAGGTGAAATGTGGCTTAGGCGATCATGCATATGTCATTGGAAACTGCCTGCCTTCCTTCTGAAGTTTTTGGAAGACGGTAATGCTGCTTGTATCCTTCTCTCTATCAGTGGTGATTCTGACAGGAAAATGATCCCGAGCAGGGTACAGACATCACTGCTTCAGGCAGCAATTGCCACACGACTGTCTCCACTCACACCACCTTTCAAATTAGATCTGTCCTTTGAGGTCGGCATCTGGAAGGCAAAGAACAGAGGAAGTCTTCTAAATACAGACAACAGGCTGCAAGAACACCAGCACGGTTACTGCTTCCCAGACCTTGGCTTCTGCACCCTCCTCTCCTCAGGGACACCGGTGTTTGGAATAAGGAAGCTTCTGAGGTGAGACCATCCAAAAGTTCCAAAGCTGGATGAGCTGTTGGGATACCGCCCTCCCCGCGTGTCCTATCAGGTATCGCTTTCTAGGAGCCTTCTCGTCTAGGGCTGCCCTGTCCGTGCCGCGGAGCGCAGGGCTGCCCCCCGTTCCCACACACATTCCTTCGCACACCCGCGGGGACAGAGCCGGGACAGCGCCCGGGGCTGGCGGCTGGGGCCGGGCCGGGTCAGGTCGGGAGCAGGGTACGGTCTCGACCCGGTCGCGGTGCGGAGCCGGGGCTGAAGCCGGATCATTGAGGGCTCGCCGCTCCGCCCGGCGACAGGCGAGCAGCGACGGGCCATTGCGCGTCCCGCCGCTCGGGCGGGGCGGGGCTGGGCTGGGCTGGGCTCGGGGCGGGCGGCGGGACCCGCCGTGGCTGCGCGAGCGGCCGGTGCCGGTGAGGCTGCAGCATGAAGCTGAGCTTGGGCCGCCTGTCCCTCCTCGTGGCCCTGGTGGGAGCGTCAAGCTTCGTCTTCCTCGTGGTGGCCATCGCGACCGACTTCTGGTACATCATCGATGCCTCCAAGCTGGAGACGTCCCTCAACGGCACGGACGCCCTCAGCTCCCACTCGGGCCTGTGGCGGACCTGCCGCGGTGAGTGAGCGGCGCGGGGCGCCCCGCGTTTGCGTTAACTTTTAATCCAAACTTACTTAATAAGCGTGAACCATTTAGAAGGAAAGAGAGATCTTTTGTGTCTTACTCGGGGGAGGGGGGGATTAAGGGGCGAAAGCTCTGGGTGAAAGCCATAAAAAAAGTAACAACATATAGAATATTAATTGAAATAATGGTAATATATAATTTATATAAACAAGTACTATGAATATAAATTATATGAGAGTTAATAATATTAGTTGTGTATCTGCAAATAATGTAATTAACTTAATCCTATGCTAACTAAAGGTAAGTGTCTGAAGATTTACCAAGTTCACCAAGTGATTATACTGCATTTGGTCTTGCTTGGTGTTTCAGTGCTCTGGATTTTAATGATAGATCCATTAGCCTTATGTGGATATGACAGGATTTTCCCCATTTAGTTTAGTTTGTATGCCGGGCATATTCTTTGGGTTTTGATTCCTCCATTGAAAACAAGAAGTAATGTTCATCAGGGCAAGAAAGGATGTTATTTGCAGTGGAGAAGAGGAGAGGGTGCAGGTTAAAGGACTTCTTCCCTTTGCTGTACCCCTAGCCCCACTGAAATTAGCAGATTTTCCATCTTGACTTCAGTGTCAGGCCCCATGGGGTCAGAAGCTGGCCAATGCTGAGTGCTGAAAATCCCCTCCTTCCCTTCCCTACCTAGGAATGACTTTTTTTAGAACAGATAATTTTATATGAAGTATATGTATGTGCAAAAACCCCATACATTGCAAGAAGATAAAGTGTAATTTTTTCCTCATTTTTTTTCCCCTTCTCTGTTACTGTGGAGCAAATGTATACACACAAAAATAGAGGAAATATTGCAATAAGATATTATGGCGTTAATTTTTCTCATTGTTTTTTTCCCTTCTCTGTTAGTGAGGAATGAATGTTATCCTTTGATAAACCCTTTCTGGCAAGAGAATGCAAACATCACTGGTTCACACAGACAGCTTTTATGTGAGTAACTTCTATATTAATTCTACATTTCCATCCACCCTTCCCTCCCTGTTTGGCCCGTTACAAGGTCCCATTTCTGATTCAGAGAGGCAGTTCTTTGAGGTAGTGTTTTCCTTCTGCTTCTCTACGATATCTGTCACCGCATGTGGTATTTAAATGGTGTTACTGTTAAAATAGCCATCTAGTCGATGTCAAGTTCAGCTAAATTCTTCCCCAGGAGCAAGTTGTTTCTGTCTGGAATGGCTCAGGAAGGTGCAAAATTACCATAAATGAAAGGCAAAAATGTTCAAAATCCCCCCAAAAGAGTTTGATCACTGAAAATGCTTAAGCACACATTTGAACAAATCTTTCAGACAGTCACTTACCTACCCTTTCAGTGTGATTACTTACACTGAAGAAAATTTGAAGTATGTGGGAATTTTAAGGAAAGAAATAGATGACTAAAAGCAGTGTTCAAAGGCTTGGAAGAACATTGTGTTCAAAAACATAAAGTTTCTAACTGCATTGGTTGATATTTACTCCTTTTTCTCTAGATTCATTTGTAAATGTCAGAATGTTTTCACAAAGTCCAAACTAAAGATTTACAAATATTTCTAGGCTTGTCCAAAAATTTGATTTACGTTCTTTGACTCATATTCTGCACAATGCTTCACTCATACATGCTTGTGTATGCACTTGCACTCTTACTTTTTGCTTACTTCACTCTCCTCGCTGACTCTGTTTTCCCCTTGCAAGCAGAATATATGCGTTTGTTCTGTGTCTTAAAATGGTACTCTTTCCCTCAAAGCCAGCCATTTCCCTGAGCAATCCTTCAGAGAGGCTTAGAGTGTCTTTAGTCTCTTGGAATAGCTTCTGAAGATGAGAGCTAGAAGGGCAGTATGTGTAACAAAGTAAGCCAGTGAGGTACTGATGTTAATGTAGCTGTGCTGCAACAGCAACTGGAAAGGTAAAGTAGGAGTAAGATCCTGGTGGGCTACTTCACAGTCGTACACGCATATTGACAGGTTCAAGGCTCAGGAGCAGATTGTCTCTCTGTGCTTTCAAATTGAAAGGTGCCATTTCTTTAATCTTCCTTGCTTAAGACAGAGGGCCTTAGCTGCTTCATGTTGCTGAAAACTGTGAGGATCACTGAAAATGATTGTCTGCAGGATCACTTAAGTCTCTGAGGGTTTAATGTTAATTGGAAGTAGCAAGACTGATCATGTTTTAAGTGTGGGCATCTCAGCTGTTATGTTGGAGATAGTATAAAAATTCAGGATAAAATTATTAGCATTTCAAAAGTTGTGTTCATATCTGTAATTTTCCTCAGGGGAGGAGATTTTAGATTATGACTCTTCAATGAAAGCTGAATTCTGCAAAAACAAAAGCAAAGACTGTACAGAGCTTTTCTGGTTATAAAAATTATGTTGGCTTGGAAACAAAGGACAGCTCTTTGGTAGTCATGAAATGTAAGAAAATAGTGAATATGAGTAAAAATTGGATTCATAGCTATGTTTACAGACTCTTCAGAGCCTCAGAGAATTTGTTTATCTCTTGCTTTTACATCAAGTACTATTTTTAGGCTCCTGGACAAAGACTTCAGGTCTGCAAAGACACTTCCAGATTTTACTATAAGTAGGCATAGTCTGCATAAAAATGATGAGAAATCAGAGATACTTTAACTGAAAGAACTTAAGGTTTGATTTGAATGCCCTACAGAGTGAACTTCTTGATACTTGGATGCTCAGCTTCAATGCAGTTTCAGTGTCGTGAGGCTACAGACTCATAGCAATAGCAGCTGAACATAGCAAGTGCCACGACAGTACTTCTAGAGAATCGTGATCTAAATGACATCTAAGTTTAAGTACTGAGATATTGCCTTCTACTTCAGCCTTACACTTTTTTCTTAACTAATTTCTGACTGTGCTCACTGAATTGTATTTTGGCAGATAGGGCAAACCTTCATCTTCATCTACAACACTAGATAACTAGAACTTTAGAGGACAATTCTGAAATCGTGGATTTCAGTGTAGTTACAGTAATTTGTTCATGTGTTGCTGTATGGGGCAAACTGGCTAATCGCACAACTTTAATCAGTTACTTTAAGAAATGACTTTTCTTCTCTGTGTGTGCCTGTGCAGGTGTCTATGAGGCATATTCATGTGGAATGAATCTCATTCTGTCCCTCTGTACACCCATATTTCTCACTGCTAAATTGGCAGGCTGAATTTCAGGAGCTCTGGCACCATTAAACATGCTTCATGCTGATTATTCCTAAAAAGATGTAGGAGGGTTGTCTCCTAACACAGGTGCTTAAGTAACACATTGAGAATCCTGTCCCCCATTCTTCAGAGTTCCCATACTCTTCCTGGCATGTCTTAATTAGGCAAAAGTGCCAAAAAGATGGGAGAAAGTCTGTATGAGTGCAAAGAGCTGGGTCTAAGTGGAAAGAGAAGTGCTAGTCAGTGCCAGAAGACAAACCTTTCATTAGAGAATGAAAAGCCTTCACGTTCTCTCCCTCCCCATTTCCAATCTCTCTCCTATTCATCCCCAGCAGATTCCTTTTAGGCTTATTGCAGACTTCAAGTAGAGCTACTGGCAAGCTAAAGAAAAGAAGGGTGTACAAATGAAAGTTCTGTGCTGCCAGCAATACTACTCAGGCAATCAACCTAGGTCTTGTTAAGCCTGAGAGTGCAATGTATTTTTCACATCACAAGAGTACTCCTCAGCAGTTTCTCTAATGGATCAAACACGTGCCTTCTCCTGTACTTTAAGCTTGTATTTCTTTTTTGCCACTCCCTCCATCTGAACATATGGTGTGTACCCTCAAACCCAGAGCATAAAAAGTATTTTCCTACTAAAGATCACATGATGGCATGGTTTAAATTTGATTAAATCATCACAATACACCACCTGCCTGCCTACCACCAGCTTTTCTGAAAATTCCACATTTAAAAAAAATTCTTTTTTCTAGAAATGTACATTTTACTCTGTCCCATGCAGTATTAAAATAAAAGTGTCACTTTTCACCATTTAGACAGTTATTAAGGTCTCTTGGGGATTAAAGAGCTAGTATTAAAGTACTAGGATTAAAGATAGTCCTCTGAAAGTCACCTTTAAAACTGAAATCTGTTGTCAAAGACACCTTGGATATCTTGTCTTGCCATTCATTCTCCTGTGCCAGCCATGAGAGACAAGCAGAAAGAGCAACTTCTTTCCATGATGAGCTGAATTCAATCTCTTGCTACATGGTAGAAGAAGGATGTCACTCTGACTTCAGAGGAAGCTGCACTAGGAGTTCTGAGCAGCTTTGCCATTTTCCTCAGGCATCTAAATGTTGAGCATCATGTCCAGAGAGAGGGAAATTGGTGCATAGAAGGAATGGCAGTTTTTAATCAACTAAAAAAATCTGCCTTAAGAGTTGCAGATTTAAAAAAAAAAAATTCTTAAAAAAGGAAATAAAATCAAAACCAAAAACCAACCCCCCAAAACCCCAAAACAAACCAACCAACCAAAACCCCCACGCCCCAACAAATCAAACCCAAAGCCCAACTGGGAAGGTTACTCTTGGGGCATTTATGTAATATAAATATTTTTCATTTACCAAAGTCTGTATTGTTAATAAGAAGTAAATACCAATATAGATTTACCTAAAGACAGCCCGAGTGTAATCCCTGCAAAATGAACAATTTTGAAGTGTTTCTAATTAAAATCAGTTTATACTCTTGGACTTAGTGCTTCCTGCAGGATAGACGAGTTGTCAAAAGAAGAAAGTAATGTGGTTGCTGCATACTAATGTATCCCGTCAAAACCGTTCTATGAGCTTGACTTTTTGGAAACCCAAGTAACCTGTTCCTTTGTGTCTGTTACGGCAGGACAGTGACCCCTGCTTGGTAATAGGAAAATTACTTCTTTCTATGTTCTGAACGGCAGCTAAGGTTTTCTTAAAGCACAATGAAATTTGTTAACATGAGGAGGGTTTTGTTTTTTTTTTGTGTGTGTGTGCCTTCCCCCCCAACCCTTTAGAGTTTAAAAACAAATTGCCACAAAGCTGACAACCACTGGCAACCCTGTTTTTTTTGTTAGTAACATGAACATCATGGCTGGTGAATGATTTCCTGTTACAAGTCATTTTTAGTACTCCACTCCTGAGACCTCCAGAGATGATCAGTTAATGGATGTGGTTTCTGCTTATATATGGCTAGAAGAAAATGTTTGTCTTGTTACAAAACCAAAAAGTGTGCAGCTGCCCATGCACAACTGCTTAAATTCTTTTGCCCAAAGTGTTTTAATTTTTCCCTTTTAGACATCAGTGTAGCTGGAACCCTGAGGCTGCAGACAAGCTGGTGCTTCCTGAAGGGAAACAGTCTTTGCAGTAGGGGCAGTTCCTGATGCCTTAGTTATTACAGTGTTACAGCTGCCTTGCTTTCTTCCTCAATAAAATTAGTTTAATAGTGCAGTTAAACAAGGCTGGATTTCCCTTACATCATGTAGACCTTGTAACAGTCACCAACCAGCTGCTTTCACACTTCTCCCCACTCTTTATGATCCTGCTTAATTTTTACCAATTTACATGCTTATAATTATATAATCCCAGAATGCCTTTGACTGCCATTACATTTTTCATGAGGGATTCACAGTTTTTTGTATTTTTTCCTTTTGGTTTAAAGTAATTAGAAGGAAACAGCTAGGGCTGGAGTAGCCGTCAAGAGCTAGTTCAGAGACTGGGTGAAATAAGACCCAAATGATGTACATAGAAATTCTAACTTACTTTTATGGTAGGTGCATACCTCAACAGATCTATTTTGTTTCAGAGCAACAGTGGTTGCTCTTCCTTCAAAGAGGTTCCAGGGAGCACTTGCTTCAGTGCTTGCAGTAGATATTACAATAAATAGACATAGAAATCCAAGATAACTTTAGCATCACTGCATCCAAGACCTAATGAGTGACAACTTCTGATGAATATTCTCATTTTCAAATTCTTTGCTGCCGTAGCAATAGAATGTGAACCACAATGCATCACTTATGTTTATCATTCTACCCGTTCCTAGTATCGAAGGTTTTCATCAATGTCCACCTGTACCAAGTGCAGCATCATTTTATTTCTGCCGTCTGCAGTTTGCCTTCCAGTTTAGCTCAGACTTCTTGCATGAGACAAGCATAAAGCCAAAACATGTAACACAAGTCTAAAGCTTAGCTACTTATCTTGGAATACCCTAACCCTGTGAGCTCTCCTCCACCATCATCTTTTCTCTACTGAAGAGGAGGGAATCCAAGCATCTGTGTCCATTGGGTTCAAGCCCACATTTAGCCACAGACAGCAGTTCTTCGCTGTTGCTCACTATTTCTCTAAGTTCCTTCTTTCCTTGCAAGCAGGTCAGGCTTTCTCATTGCACTGTTTCTTCCTGACTTCACCAAGTCTTTCCAGAGCCGTCCCACTGGTTTTAGCTACTACCAGCTTTCTGTTTCAGATAGAGGCTTTTGTCTTTCTAACTGGCTATTTAGTTGCTGTTGGGGCAAACAAACAAGTCCTTAATTAAGCTCTTCAGAGCTGCTGGCTGTGGAGTATTTCTGATGAGGTGACTATTTTAGATGTCTGAAGACTGTTTGCTGTAAGCTGTGCAAACAGATCCAAAGTTAGTCTGAAACAAGCTCCAGCATACTAGCAGGAGATGATTAACAAAACTGCTAGAGCTGCAGTTGATTACTTTTGACACCATTCACGTTTTCTAGTTCATTCCACAGATTTCTGTTACAAAGCACTCATCAACAGCTGTGTTGGGTGATAATTTAGAATTGTCTGCCAAATCTGGACACACACTGCAGATGTCATTCATACAGACATTTGGTCAGGCCTGTAGTAAAAAAGCTTTGGCTAGCTGGTGTAAAACTTTATTAATTCAGATCAAGCAATTTAAGTATTGTTTCTACAAAAAAAAAGTTTTGTAAATGTTCATCAGTTTGTTTCAGTATTGTCAAGATTAAACTACAGGATCTTTCTTGTTGGACTGAGTGGGAACTCGGGCATTGAGATGTGGGAAACTAATTCTGTTTTCTAGGCAAGTGCATATACCTCTTCTTGTGCAAAATACTTAGGCTGTTATTTTTTTAATACTAGATTAATTGAATCAAAATGAATTCAGTAATATGGATAATTCATCATATATGTGTTTCAACACAAACTAAGAAACATTAAAATGACTGCAAAATTAATGTTTTAACTTCTTTCACAGATGATTATTGAAGACAGAAACACAGTAAAGATATTTTAAGTCATGTTCTTCTATAAACTAATTCTGTCCCTCTAATTAAGCATAATATCATACGCCAGACGGCATGAATTCAGATTCCTGAGTGGTTTCCATGGCAGCATTTTAGAATAAGTTTCCCAGACAGTTGCAGATTTCATAGAAGGACCAATGGCTATTAGGTATTGAACTAGAACACTGGAGGTGATACAAGTGCTGTTGAACCAAATTCAATCCATTAAATGTTTCATTTTTAAAAAGCTGCAGGTGATTCATGAGAAATGTGATCCCAGCAGTGTGTAGGAAAAGCAAGGCTCTGGTCACAGTGGGATCTGTGGGTTTCAGCTGAGATATCACTGAAACCTTGATTTCCACTGATGAGGGCATACAAATCAGAGTTATTCTGATATTGCATGCAGTTGTCACAGATCATTAACACAATCTATAACACTCCCCAGGAGAACAGCCTGATACGGCGTTGTTTTCCCTTTGCTTCAAAACGTTACATTCAGAGCTTTATTTCCTTCATCCACACTTGTCCTGGCTAAGGTATCCTAGCTGCAGTAGCTGAAATGACACCATGAAAAGGAAAGTAAGAGAAACAGCAACTGTTAGAGTTAATATCCTGAGGAATAGTTTCTTAGCAGCAACTTTGATTAGTGAGGAACACCTGGCAAATCACAAAGCACAGGCCCAGTGATGACCTTGTTTATATTTCTTCCCACCCAGCAAAGCCAGGTCTGAGGACGGAGTTGCACCATTCATATTTTTAAAATGTTAATTGCATCAGATTTTACACCCTCCTACCTTCCTGCAAGCCCTTTTCACCTCTTACTTGCAAGACAAAATCTAAGAGGACACATAGATGTGAAAATGCTGGGGAAGCAAAATCAGACCTAATACCCACAGGAAGCAAAAACGAGGCCAAAGACTATCCTGGTTCTGCTGCCTCTCTAGAATATGAGAACTAGATTGTGTGCCACATCTCTATACTGTCATATCAGGTCTCATCTAATCCCTGACAACCACTTCTGAACTAAGTTTCATGGCTATTTCTCCTCTTGGTATTCAACTAAGATTTGCAAACAGTTTCAACATACTGGTTTATACACAGCTGAAGGTTGATTTGACTTCTAGTTTCTGAGAATTGCTATGGGTTTGGGTTTCTTAGCCAGCAACAGCAGCTGTGGCCAGTTTTGCTGAAGGGAGTATCCTCAGATTTAGAAGCAAAGAAAGTGCTCCCTTCAATGCAGAATGCTGAATTCATGCTTCCTAAGCATCAGCTGATACTGATGTGGGCATATATGGGACTAAATATGAGAATATAATATCAGCATAAGCGTAAATGGAAACTTTGTCAATTGCCACATTTTTCCTTGTGAGCATGTTCTGTACTACACAAAACAAATCATTATGTCTTGAAGCCACATTCCACCCAAGTAAAGAAATTAATAGTATCTGCCTTGATCCTGTGAAGGCTCTTCCTAACCTTCCCAGGTTCTACAGCTGGACAGAGATATGTATGTGCTTGAGCCTTATAATGTTATTGAAGAGGACAAGCTGGATCCTTAGCCATGGCAGGTGCAGTATCTCCAATTCAGTGGGCAGTTACAGTGACTTAAAAAATTGATAATCTGATCACACACAAACTGTGATCTCTTAACTGGCTCCTTTTCCTTGGGAGCCAGGTAATGGTGTATTGTCCTCTGTGAAATTAAATGAGACAGCAAAGCCTAGAGCCCTTCATCAAATGGATTTTAAGTTTTCCTTTCTCCATGACTCTGCACTTCATTCTGGTATGAAATAAATTGTTCTGGAAGTTGAAATTACTTTTTTGTTATTATTCTAGAAAAGGTTGGGTTGAACATTGTTGATGGATTGCATGAGAGAGAGCAATGACACAAAGATGGTTTATGATGGAAAAAATGGTGTGATATGAAAAAATACATAGCAGCCCTCTGTTTACACAGCTATTAAAATGTTGTAGCGATCAAGAAAGATTAATGTAAAACATTTAGCATGAGAGGAAGCAATGAGAATAGGTTAATGTACTTAGTGAAGCTGCTGTAGAAAACAATGACAGACATAGAATCAGAGCTGGATGGGGAAATTTACCTCTAGCTGATGGTCAGCTTCAACAAAGGAAAAGGTCAACAATTTGCTAGATCCGTTCAGCAGAGGACACGTGACAGAAAAGAAAGTGTTTAACCAAAATATATGCTGGATCTCACTACCCACACAGAAGAGAACAATGCCACTCACTGTGCTCTGTATGATTCAGATAGCCAGGGCTACTTTTTATTAAGGCTGTCAGTTACTACCTGATATGCAATGCATCTTCTGTTATCCAGCTAGGTTTAATATCTGGGAACAGTTTAATTGCCTAAATATATCCATGTAGGCATATCCTTTATATTTGTGGTCTCTCTTTGAAACGCAGGCTGTGGTCCTGTGAAAGGCTCACTCTGTATCTTACCTTTTTCTCCATACCATTTATTTGTCCTGCTAACTGAAAACTCAAGAGATTGTCCACCTCCTTGTTTTTGCAGCACAGAATAAGGCTTTGATCCTTTCAGGGGCTCTGCACTCAATAATTATTACTACATCCAATGATACCATAATAAAATACTAAAATTCTTAATTTTTCTTCAGATATGCACGGAACATTTGTCATCCTGATGCCTCTCAGCCTGATATTGATGATTTTTGGAGGAATGACTGGATTCATCAGTATTATTGCCAGGGCCTACCTACTACTTCTAATGACAGGACTGCTCTTTCTTTTTGGAGGTACTATATCAGACTCCTGTCTTTACTGTTTTAAATAAGAAGACATTTTATCTGGGAAACATCGCTTTGTCTTCCTGGGAAAAAAAGCTAAGCAAGAATTTACTTTCAGAATAATGCTGGTGTTCATTTACTTGGTCTGCTCAGCTCCTGACAGGGTTCTGGAATAGAAAGTTGCCACTCAGAGTCAGGAAAAACAAATAATCACACACAATCATATATCCTTGTGGACACAGAAGATACAATACCTTCTCAGCGCAGTACCCAAATTCTCCACAGACATGGTAATGGAGTAATGGAGGAGTGACTTTGTAATTAGTAAAGCATAGGGTTCGATAGACTTGCACAGATCTTAAAACTATTAAGAAAACTGACATTTTTCAAAGGTACTTGACCCTCAAAAGGGCCTTGGTAGGCATTTCTGGGTCAGATTCAGTGCCAGCTTTGAACTAGAGAGGAGTCCCCAGACTTCGGGTCACAAAAGGAAACCCCAAAGAGTTATTTTAGTTGGAGTGTAACATTTCAATCTGAAGCTGCTAAAATTCTTTTACATTTTGTGTTCTATTATTTTTGCTGTAACCAAAACCAATTCCTTTATGAAATTAAAAATGTTCTGTCAAAGTAGAAAAACTGGGCTTAAATCCACTTCCCTTTTCTTCTCCAAATAGATTTTCAGTACTGTTTCACGATGTAACTTACACAGAAATTTTTCCCAGCAGAAAAGGGGATCCTCGGTATTGGCCCTCGCAACCTGATCATACAATCCCTGTTTCTAAGAAAAGAATGCTAAGAGATTGCTGAAAGCAAATGCTGCTGTCTCAAAGTCTTGAATGACCTTTTAGTCTGAAATGCTCTTACAAAGACCAACCATCTTCCATTATGCTTTTCTTCTTCAAAAAGAAAAAGTAAGCTCTATTTCCTTAGAACATCAGAAAGCTGTATTCACTAAAAAGGCTTAGGCTGTTTGGAAACTACTCCAAATAGTAAGTGAAAAATGAAAAGCCATGAAGTGCAAAGCATGATTACCCTGCTGAGGAGTGGAGTACTATGCCTTTCTAGCACCCTTGGGGTTGCAAAGGGGGAAAGGAAACACAAAGACGGTAGTAAGAGAGGAGCGCTTGAACATGTTTTCAAGTTGCAGCTAGTGCTGTTTCCCAGGACAGCATAAACAGAGTGACTGCAGGGGGCACTTTGATGTGACACCAGACCCTCTTCCTGCTCAGGTGGTATTGCTCAGCTCTTTCAACTGCACTGAGGCTTGATGCATGTAACAGGTATGCACAGTTGTGTAGGATATTCTAGTTCACAAAGTTCAGTATTGATTAGATAGTTATCTCAGCAGAAAGAAATATTTTATGCTGCAATTTCAGAAACCTGCGGTTTTTCTAAAGTACCAGAACTGTTCCACACCCCAGGACATTCATTTTGCTTCCCCATTTTGTTGAAATGCAGCCACATTTAAGGGGATCACAGACCTTGGCATACCTTGTTGAAAATGTCAACAAAACAGTCATTTCCATTTCTGCTGGCAAAAGGTATAAAGTGATTTCTCCCCTCACCCTTGCAGAGGACTAGAATAAGGTACAGTCACCACAGCATGGTTAAAAACAGTAATATGAGTATGAATTTTGACTGTTGGATAACCCAATACTCTTCTGTCTTGGTTTGCCTCTACTCAAACTTGTCTTTCTGCCAAAAATGCAAACTCGTCTAGACTTACACTGTGATTTAGCAAAAAGCTAGACCAAAATTTATCTCAGAATCAGATAAGACACTATCTTGTCCTACAAGTATTCCAGGATCTATTTTGCCCTGGCTACGGTCCTTTAATCCAGGGCATTTCTATCACGTTGCCTGCCACTGATCCAGTAAAGTTGTGACTTTCGTTAACGTATGTCCTTTGAGTAACATAGGTGCCAGGCCCAGGATGTAGCATGTACCTGTGCTAGATGTGCTATTCCCTAAGTTTGCTAGTTGCTCTACAGTGCTTTCATTCTGAAAACATCTGGCTTTATTAACTTATTTTTAGTCTGCTCCAAGGATGTCTTTTGCTCAATTATTTGGAAGTGATTAATAGTCATGACTCCACAACACTTGGTGGGAGGAGACAGTAAAGACAGACACATGTACATTAAACACTCAGAACTTGTGATACCCAAAATTAGAAAACATCGTAAATTCAGATCACTGACCTGAAATGCGACAATCTCTGTCTCCAGAGGCAATCTCTGGGCTTTCTTGCGTGGAAGTACATAACTGCACGTGGTGCACAGCAATGAGAAATCAGGATGCTTTATAATACAGTCTGGAAATGTACATGCATTAGATATCTGTAAAACACATGACTATATTTTTATTGTGGGAGGCTTGCTGTTACACATTTTGATTCAGTATTTAACACTGAGAACACGTTAAACTCAGTGGACAGAAATAACTGTCGCTTTACTTCCCCCTCACTCATCCCCAGAAAACAGCCTCAGCTAGATTTCAGAGCTAAACAGGCTAGCTAGTTACCTAGCTTGGGTAGATAGAAAGGATTGACAAAGAAGCCCTAGGAGATACCCAGTTAATTGTTTTTAATTTCTGCAGTGGATGCTAACTAGCTGAATATGCTTTTCTTTCCCAGCTCTTGTTACACTTACTGGGATCAGTGTTTATATTGCATATTCAGCTGCTGCCTTCAAAGAAGCTGTCTGCCTCCTGAGGAGTAAGGATCTCCTGGTAGAAATTGACATCAGGTTTGGCTGGTCACTGGCACTAGTCTGGATCTCCTTTGTCGCAGAAGTGCTCACTGGGGCTGTGTTTCTCCTGGCAGCAAGAGTTGTGGGTCTGAAACAACGACGTGAACAGGTGTTATGAGCAACAGGTATCATTGCAGCATCAGAACGCCACAGAGCCTAGAAGTGTGGATTGCTTGGTCCATCTGGTCACTAGGGGTAATAAAATTGGCAAGGCTGTGACTGAGTTTCTTGTCAGCTGCCATAAACCTTTTTCCTCACAGTTAGCTACAAAAAACAAAGATTCTGATAAATCAGTAAAACATACGAAGTGTTGTCAATAAGGAAACTCTTATGACTTTAGAAGAAAATACATTGCAGTGTTAGCATCTCCAAAATAGTTTCATCTGTCAGCAAATACGGCATCTCAAACCATTGCTTAGAACAGGCAGATATCTTGCTTTCTTTTCTCCTTTCAGCTGTCCCAGTGAAGTGCCTCAGAGTACAGAATCACAGAATCCTAAGGGTTGGAAGGGACTTCAAAAGATCATCTAGTCCAACCCCCCTGCAAGAGCAGGGTAACCTAGAGTACATCACACAGGAACTTGTCCAGGTGGGCCTTGAATATCTCCAAAGTAGGAGACTCCACAACCCCCCTGGGCAACCTGTTCCAGTGCTCTGTCACTCTCACAGTAAAGAAATTTTTCCTGATGTTCACATGGAACCTCCTATGCTCCAGTTTACACCCATTGCCCCTTGTCCTATCACTGGACATCACTGAAAAAAACCTAGCTTCATCATCCTGACACTCACCCTTTACATATTTGTAAACATTGATGAGGTCACCCCTCAGTCTCCTCCAAGCTAAAGAGACCCAGCTCCCTCAGCCTCTCCTCATAAGAGAGATGTTCCATTCCCTTAGTCATCTTTGTAGCTCTGCGCTGGACTCTTTCAAGCAATTCCATGTCCTTCTTGAACTGTGGGGCCCAGAACTGGACACACTATTCCAGATGCGGCCTCACCAAGGCAGAGTAGAGGGGGAGAAGAACCTCTCTTGACCTACTAACCACACCCTTTCTAATGCACCCTAGGATGCCATAGGCCTTCTTGGCCACAAGGGCACATTGCTGGCTCATGGTCATCCTCCTATCCACCAGGACCCCCAGGTCCCTTTCCCCTTCACTACTGTCCAGCAGGTCAGCCCCCAACCTGTACTGGTACATGGGGTTCTTCCCCAGATGCAAGACTCTACACTTGCCCTTGTTGAATTTCATCAAGTTCCTCTGCGCCCAACTCTCCAGCCTGTCCAGGTCTCACTGAATGGCAACACAACCCCCTGGTGTGTCAGCCACTCCTCCCAGTTTAGTATCATCAGCAAACTTGCTGAGGGTACATTCAGTTCCCTCATCCAGGTCGTTGATGAAAATATTAAGCAGCACTGGTCCCAGCACCGACCCCTGATGGACTCCACTAGTCACAGACCTCCAGCTAGATTCTGCCCCATTGACCACAACTCTCTGCCTTCTTCCTTCCACCCAGTTCTCGATCCACCTCACTACCTGATCATCAAGCCCACACTTCCTTAGCTTATCTATGAGGATGCTGTGGGAGACAGTATCAAATGCCTTACTGAAATCAAGAAAAAACACATCTACCACTCTACCATCATCCATCCACCTAGTTACTTGCTCATAGAAGGCTATAAGGTTGGTCAAACATGACTTCCCCTTGGTAAAGCCATGTTGGCTGCTCTTAATGACCCCCTCATCCTTGATATGCCTAGAGATGGTGTCAAGAATAAGTTGTTCCATCACCTTTCCAGGGATGGAGGTAAGGCTGACTGGTCTATAATTACCCAGGTCCTCCTTCTTGCCCTTCTTATAGACCGGCGTGACATTTGCCATCCTCCAATCCTCAGGCACCTCACCTGTTTCCCACGACTTACCAAAGATGATGGAGAGTGGCTCAGCAATGACCTCTGTCAGCTCCCTCAGCACCCGCGGGTGTATTCCATCCGAACCCATTGATTTATAGATGTCCAGATTACTTAACTGATCCCTAACCCAATCCTCATCTACCAAAGCAAACTCCTCCTTTATCCTGACTCCTTCCAGGGCTATAGGAATCTGGGTCCCCCGGGGAGAGTCTGCAGGAGTAAAGACAGAGGCAAAGAAGGCATTCAACACCTCTGCCTTCTTTATATCCTCTGTCTCCAGGGCACCCACCTCATTCAGCCGCGGGCCTATACTGCTTCTTGTGTTAGTTTTATTCGCTATGTATTTGAAGAAGGCCTTTCTATTGTCCTTGACCCGACTTGCCAGATTAAGTTCCAAGGAGGCCTTAGCTGTCCTAATTGCTTCCCTACATCCTCTAACAGCTGTCCTATATTCCTCCCAAGTGGCCAGCCCCTCCTTCCATAATCCATAGATTCTCTTTTTCCATATGAGTTTGCCCAGCAGTTCCTTGTTTAACTATGCTGGTCTTCTGGCTCCCCTACTTGACTTCCTACTCACTGGGACACTGATCCTGAGCTTTGAAGAAGTGGTCCTTGAATGCTGACCAACTATCTTGAGCCCCTTTACCACCTAGTACCCTTTGCCATGATACTTCCCTTAGCAATTGATTGAAGAGGCCAAATTTTGCCCTTCGGAAATCCAGAAATGTGGCCTTGCTAGGTATTCTATTCCTCCCACGCAGGATCCTAAACTCCACCATCTCATGGTCACTGCAGCCCAGGCTGCCATTGACCATCACCGCTTCAACCAGACCCTCCTTGTTGGTGAGTACCAGATCCAGCAGTGCTCCTCTCCTAGTTGGTTCGTCCACCATTTGCATTAAGAAGTTATCATCAATGCACTGGAGGAACCTCCTAGACTGTGAATGACTGGCTGTGTAAGTCTTCCAGCAAATATCAGGGTAGTTAAAATCCCCCATAAGGACCAAGGCATGTAGTTGTGAGGCTGCTTTCAGTTGCCTGTAGAAAGCCTCATCAACTCCTTTGTCCTGATCAGGAGGTCTATAATAGACCCCCACAACTGTGCCACCCGTACCAGCCTGTCCCTTAATTTGCACCCACAGACTTTCCACTTGGTCCTCATATGTCCCTGGACAGAACTCAATACATTCTAGTCTCTCTCTCACATAAAGAGCGACTCCACCACCTCACTTTGCTGACCTATCTTTCCTAAAAAGGACATAGCCGTCCGTGACCACATTCCAGTCATGTGAGCTGTCCCACCATGTCTCTGTAATTGCCACCAGGTCATAACCTTTAGACCGCACACAGACTTCTAACTCCTCCTGTTTATTCCCCATGCTGTGTGCATTGGTGCACAGGCATCTCAGGGAGCGAGCAGAGCACGCTAGTGGCACCCTTGGGAGGTGGGAGGCCTTCTGGTCTTCATTCATACTAGAACAATGCCCCACTAGTTGAAACCCAGCTACAACCCCCTTGCACTTTGAATCTAACCTAAAGCTCTGTGACTGAGCTCTGCTAACTCTTGCCCTGGTACCCTTTTTCCCCTGCGGGACAGGGTCTAAACAACTCTCCTTTCCCTCAAATGAAACAACAGATTGAGAGTCCTCCCTAGTCCACCCTCCTTCAGGCCCTAGCGTGTTTCTCTTGGGCTTGTCCCTAACAGGCCCAGTTATCTCCCCTTCTCCCTTCATATCTAGTTTAAAGCCCTGTCAATGAGCCCTGCTAACTCCTGCCCCAAAAACCTTCTCCCCCTCTGGGTCTGGTGTATCCCACCTGCCACCAGCAAACCAGGTGTCTCATATAGCAGCCCATGATTGAAAAACCCAAACCCCTGCCTTTGGCACCAGTCCCATAGCCATACATTAATCTGCAGTCTCTTCCTATTTATCTCTTCGCCCTTGCTTGTAACAGGTATGGAGGCAAACACCACTTGCGCTCCAGACCCACTAACCAGCCATCCCATTACCAGACCCTCTAACCAGCTATACCTTGTAGGCCAGTATGCACGGCTCACTTAGCTTTTGGTTACTTCTCTGAAGCTGGTTAGAGGGTATTGAAGAGTGCATTGAGTTCTGTCCAGGGGCAGATGAGGACCAAGTGGAAAGTCTGTGGGTGCGAATTAAGGGACAGGCTGGTATGCACGGCTCACTTAGCTTTTGGTTACATTTCTGAGAGTCCTGATAAGTGTGCATTGTAGGATTCCAGGCATGTTGGCAGCTTCTACCAGCAGAGGTGCTTTGAGATGGCTACCTTGTGGTAGAGAGTGTGATCTTGAGGCACCCTCAGTAAATTTGCTGACAACACCAAGCTGCATGGTGTGGTCAATACACTGGAGGGTAAGGACGGGATCCAGAGGGACCTGGACATGCTCAAGAGGTGGGACCGTGCAAACCTCATGGAGTCCAAGAAGACCAAGTGCAAGGTCCTGCATGTGGGCTGGGCAATTCCAAGCACAACTACAGACTGGGTGGAGAATGGATTGAGAGCAGCCCTGAGGGGAAGGACTTGGTGGTGCTGGTTGACAAGAAGCTCAACATGAACTGGCAGTGTGTGCTTGCAACCCAGAAAGCCATGTAGTAGTGACTATGATGGTGAAATTCTCAAGTGTAGTGCAGTGGGGAATGTACTGCAAGAGAAAGATACAGGTTCTTTTCCAGATGTTTTAAGTACCTACTTAGCCAGCCACAGTCTTTCAGTTGCTCAGGCTATACACTTACCAGTTTCAGCTTATTACTGCCTGCTTTTTCAGTTCTGTAGTGCAGAAGACAAATCTGATGCATTTCCCACTTTTTATGTAGCAATTTTGACAGTGCTTCTTTTTAATGAAATTTGTTCACATGCTTTGTGCTAGAATATGCTTAACTTGTGCTGAAAACTTTTGGCATAAACTGGAAACACAGAATACCTGTGTTTTCATCTTAGCTGCCAAGAAGTCTGGGTTTTCTTAATGAGTTTTTCCTCTGGGTAATAAGTGTTTAAGACAAAATTTACTTCACTGCCTACTGAAGTTAAGGAAGAATTTTTCCCCTGCCTGCTATGGCTTTCAATAAAGACTTGGATGTGTTAACAGCTCCGCTACATTTCTGTTAGACCATGTATTTCTGGAGGACTTCAGCATATCACTGTTCACGACTGTGGCTCAAGAGCCGTGTCAGCAAGGCACACTGTGTCACTGGGCAAGTCCCTTGTGCTTTTCCCAGTAGCGCAAAGGGCATCATTTACCTACCTCTGTTAAATATCAGAACAATTTCATCATTGTGTCTTGTGTTAAAGTTTGCACATTTACTCTTATGGAGCTCAGCTCTTAATCTTACTCACACAGTACCAATTACTTTACAAAAAGATAGTGGCAGGGCGCTTCTGAGGCCTTACAGTCTCTGGAGATATAAGGAAACATTATTAGTGCCATGCTGTGAATGGAGAACAGAGGCAGAAAAACTGTCCAAGGTCACTTGAAACCAGAGTTTCTGAATCTCAGTCCAAGACCTTAGTTGGCACACCTTGCTTGTTATCGGGATGAAGCAAGTCCTGAATAGACTGAGCAGTAGAAATTCTGTGAGTAGACAGTACAATTTTGTAATTCTCACCTGCTCCCACATTGGTTTTTGCGTATCTTCCATTTTGCCTTGTGCTGAGACTGTGTAATTGAGTCATTTTACAAGTTAAAGCGTGTCAAATCAGAGCTGTAAGAAGAGTAAGAAAAAAATCCTTTGTATCCTAAATTCTATGTGCTGAAGTAAATTATGTAAAATGTGATATTTCTATGTTTTGGTGCTGGTGAAGCTATTTATAATGCAATTTGTATGGTGTTACTTGGATGTTACTGAAAACTGTAACAGTAAAATACCATCTGAGTTATTTTTTGAATATTTATTACAGGTGTTATTTTCCAGTGGTTTTGAATGTTGTAAAATTAAATAAAACGACTTCTCAGAGCTGGGAATTATTTACTAAGACATGGAAGATCCAAGATATATATTTTTCTTTAACTTTTTTTGCAGATCTATTGTACAGTTTGCATGTGCTTTTGAAGTGCCTGTGTCACATGTGGTAGGTATTTATAAGATATTTATGCGGCTACAATATAAAATAGTCACGTGATCAAATCTAATTTAGAAAGCCAATGAATTTGTTATTGAATTAGAGCAATTCTCATTTCCATGGCTTTCCTAAACTTCTAATTCTGACTTCCTGCAAGATCTGGTACAGTGGTAATAAAGAGTGTCATCTGCTCCTGAATATTTGTATAACCCCTGAATTTCTCTGAAATTTGGCCTGAATACAAATTAAAAAAGATGGTCTGGAATAGTCAAATTAGCTTTGAACATTTTGAAGAATTATGCTAGAAAGAGAAGATATCCTGGAAAGGACCTCATGTAATTTGGTACAAGTGACATTATAATCTTCCTCTTGGTGAAGCTAATGTTTATTTTATACCCAGTTCTTTGCTGTGTTTTCCCCAAAATGTGTTACTGAGATGAAGACACTGACTGTTGCCATTATTTTCTAGTGAATTGCAAACTCATAGGCAATTGGCTTCATTTAAATTGAAGAAAAACATATGTACTGAGCAAGCAGTACTGTTTGAATGGTTAGAGTACACAGAGCTACTGGACAATACTAGTCACGAATTCAAAGAATTCCTCAAGGGGTGGCAGAGAGGGATGGGGGAGGTCAAAGGGATCCTTGAGGATGAAAAAAGTGCAGAAATGGCACACATTTAGAGGAGATGCTGGTGAATATAATGTGGACATGAAACCACAAGGATTTAGTCTGGGTCTGTGCTGTGGGAGCTCCTGTGGGAGTAGGTGAGAATTACCTGCCTCTGAAGAGCAAGAGGACATTGTTGGTTCTGGCACAGCTTCAGTTAAAATAGCTCCATGTATTTGTTGATCACTGGTCCAAAGCCCATAGACCTGTGTTGTGGGTCAATCAAATCAGCAGATAATGAGAAATAAAACCAAATCTTAAAAACATTGCTCCCCAGCCCTTCTTTCTTCCCAGGCTGAACTTCAATGCAGATTTTCTCTACCTCCTCCCCCACCAGTGGCACAGGGGAATGGGGAATGGAGGTTGTAGTCAGTTTATCACATGTTTCTTCTGCCATTCCTTTTTCCTCAGGAAAGGGCTCCTCACACTCTTCCTCTGCTCCAGCGTGGGGTCCCTCACATAGGAGACAGTCCTCTATGAACTTCTCCAACGTGAGTCCTTCCCACAGGCTGCAGTTTTTCATGAACTACCCCAGCATGTGTCCCTTCCATGGGTGCAGTCCTTCAGGAACAGACTGCTCCAGTGTGGGTCCCCTGCAGGGTCACAAGTCCTGCAGCAAACCTGCTCCAGTGTGGGCTCCTCTCTCCACAGGGCCACAGGTCCTGCCAAGAGCCTACTCCAGAGCAGGATTCTGATGGGGTCACAGCCTCCTTCAGGCATCCCCCTGCTCCTGCATGGGGTCCTCCATAGGCGGCAGGTGGATATCTCCTCCACTATGGACCTCTGTGGGCTGCAGGTGGATATCTGCTTCAACATAGACCTCTATGGGTTGCAGGTGGGTATCTGCTCCACCATAGACTTCCATGGGCTGCAGGAGACAGCCTGGGTTACCATGGTCTGCTTTTGCGATTGGAGCACCTCCTCCTCCTTCTTCACTGACCTTGGTGTCTGCAGAGCTGTTGCTCTCATATTCTCACTCATCTCTCCCAGCTGCAATAGCTCCTGCACACTTTTTCCTCTTCTTAAATATATTATCCCAGAGGCATCGCCACTGTCACTGATGGGCTCGGCCTTGGCCAGTGGAGGGTCTGTCTTGGATCTGGCTGGCACTGGCTCTGTGGGACATGTGGGGAAGTTTCAAGCAGCTTCTCACAGAAGCCACCCTTGTGTCCCCTCTCCCTCCAGCCTTGCCAAGCAAACCCAGTACAACCTGACTGACCCTATGCAGACACATGTGATTTGTAATTTCCTTCTCCCAAATCTGAAAGGATGGCAGGAGGGAGATCCAAAAGGACATGCTCTGTATATGCCTAGTTGGTCAGCAGCAGAGGAGAGCCAAAATCTACCCAGAACCTCCCCACTAAGGTGACCACAGCAAAGCATGGAGTGCCTGCCTACTGAAGCTGTTAAGGGAAACTGGAACTGGCCCACAAGACAGATCCAAGAGACTTAGATTTTCCCAAGCTTGATTGACGCTTTGGGATCTCAAGTAATCTAGGCCTCCAATTTTATTACTTATTTTGTATTGTTTTGCAAATGAAATCCAGTGATCTCAGCTATTTAAAACTGAAAACAAAATCTAAAGAAATCTGAGTCAACTTCGTGAATACAGATATATTCTTTTCCCTGATTCATTTTGTAAATTCCTTGCAGCGAATCAGTTCATAGTTAGCCAAGATATATCCACAAAAAACACGTCACTTGGCCTCCTGACTGCTGTTTTTTCATTGACAGACTTAAGTTGCCCCAGTTAAGGATCAGAAAGGTTAGAATGAATGCTCTGGCTCTGTACTAGAGAATCAAACATCCCTAGAACTGTTATAACCATGTTTACGAGAGACTGTTCTGTGACTGTTCTGTGCCTCAGGAACCCCAGTTTGTTTGCTAAGTGGGCACAGTTGTTAGCCCAGCAATTGCAAGCTCACAAGAATTTGGTCAGATGTTCTTGGCCAGACAAAACTACCTTGAAAACCACGTTCAACCCCAGAGTTTTGTTACCCTTGGGTTAAGTTATAGGTCTTTACTGGATTGTGTTCCAGTTAGGTTACAAAAAATAAGATCTTTTTGCTTTTACTGAAATGTTACTGTGCTGTTTTACTGTAGTAGCTTTCTCCTATGTTTTACACATCAGCTTTAACCCTAATTAGGCCCTCAAACTTTTCTTTCCCTGTTTGCCAGTCCCTTGAGCAGCCATATCAATGTCACATTCAGTCTTTGGATGCATATTATTAATGACAGTGTGTACTGCTGGGTCACGTCCCACTTTGGCATTTGTGTTGCTTGTAATCATAGTTTGAATGCTCTGACTTGAGAGGCATTTTCTGTTTTATGATGGTTTGCATGGAAAGAGCGGTCTCTACTGACATCTCATGGCTACACTGAGCAGTTGACTGTATTTGGGAAGAAACCATTCATTTCCATCCATACAGCACATACAGGACAACCATGTGATCAGGCCCAGCCAGCATGGATTTATGAAAGACCCTGCTTGACTGACCTGATCTCCTTCTATGACAAGGTGACCCACTCTGTGGATAAGGGAAAAAGCTGTGGATGTTGTCTACCTAGACTTTGGTAAAGCCTTTGACACCATTTGCCACAGCATTCTTGTGGAGAAACTGGCTGCTCATGGCTAGGATGGGTGCGTTGTTTACTGTGTAAAAACCTGGCTGTACGGCCAAACCAAAGATGTGGCAGTGAGTGGAATTAAATCCAGTAGGGGACTGGTCACAAGTGGTGTTACAAGTGGTGTATATGATGGCTTACTTCCTGAATAAGACTGACTGTCTAATAATTGAACAATTGAAAGGGACAGACCTCAGGATCAGTCCAGAAAATATCAGAGGCATTCTGCAGGAAACAGCACGCTACATTATCCTGTGGCACTTAATTTCTTTACCCCCCTCAATAAAAACATTTTTCCAAACAAAGTCAGGAAGCTCTGCTTTCAGTGGGAGCTGAGCAACTTCAGTGAGATACACCACGACATTGTTCAATTTTGAAACTATGCAACAACTGTCAAAGTAAAAGAGACCAACTCTACCCTCTCACATTTACTAGATTCAGTCTTCCTTTCCTGGGAACTGTGGCACCATTGTCCACTCCTGATCTACAAATATACCTCTGCATAGACTGCTCAGACACATCTGTAATTCTTCCAAGCCAAATTACTAGGGTAGAGCACCTCCTTAAAAAAGTGCTCTTAGCTGTGGTGCAAGAGCATAGAATCATACAATCACAGACTGGTTTTGGTTGGAAAGGACCTTAAGATCATCCAGTTCCAACCCCCCTGCCATGGGCAGGGACACCTCACACTAAACCATCTCACCCAAGGCTCTGTCCAACCTGGCCTTGAACACTGCCAGGGATGGAGCATTCACAACTTCCCTGTGCAACCCATTCCAGTGCCTCACCACCCTAACAGTAAAGAATTTCCTCCTTATATCCAATCTAAACTTCCCCTGTTTTAACCCATTACCCCTTCTCCTGTCACTACAGTCCCTAATGAAGAGTCCCTCCCCAGCATCCCTATAGGCCCCCTTCAGATACTGGAAGGCTGCTATGAGGTCTCCATGCAGCCTTCCCTTTTCCAGGCTCAACAGCCCCAACTTTCTCAGCCTGTCTTCATACAGGAGGAGCTCCAGTCCCCTGATCATACTCGTGGCCCTCCTCTAGACTTGTTCCAACAGCTCCATGTCCTTTTTATGTTGAGGACACCAGAACTGCACACAATACTCCAGGTGAGGTCTCACGAGAGCAGAGTAGTGTGGCAGGATCACCTCCTTTGACCTGCTGGTCACGCTCCTTTTGGTGCAGCCCAGGATACGGTTGGCTTTCTGAGCTGTGAGCCCACACTAAAGCTGGCTCATAATAGTTAGGGTTGGAAAGGACCTTAAGATCATCTAGTCCTAACCCCCCTGCCACGGGCAGGGACACCTCACACTAAACCATCTCACCCAAGGCTTTGTCCAGCCTGGTCTTGAGCACTGCCAGGGATGGAGCATTCACAACCTCCCTGGGCAGGGAGCAGGCCAGAGCTGATGAGCAGTGAAGTATTAAAAAGTGGCATCTTAATCCTTGTAATAGTCTGCTTATACCACTCATTTCAAGGCTAGCTAGAAGACTCCTTGGTTGGGGTTGGAGGGATGGCAGGCAGTTCCATGAAGAGCTTTTGGCTCATTATTTTGCTCTTTCCATTTCTGCCAAGGATAAGGCAATGCGACTTGTCATGGAAGGCTGGGCTTCTCTCAGTGTAATTCTCCCTAGGTGTTGAAAAGAATTTATCTGCCAGTAGCTGAACAGCACTTGCTAATGGCTTATGCTTCTGGACAACACATCTGGCTGCTGAAGGAGCTAACGTATTTCTCTGTCCAACCTGGCCTTCTCAAATATGTATAAGCTAATGTTGTATGTAAAGCCTGCAGCATACAGAGAGGTTGAACTGAATTGCACTGCGGAGGAGTCTCTATTTCCATAGTCTTTTGGAGTTGGCTTCCTCAGTACTGTGAAAACCCTTTGGCATCATAAACCTTTTATTGCCACAGCTCCCACTTGACTAATATTTATACAGTGAAGCATTTAATTATGAAAAAAAAAACACCACATAAAAAGAATTTTATAACTATCAGGCAAAATGCATAGAAGAACAAACTTTGTAAGACTTGCAATAACAAGTCATTTGAGTTATCTGCCTTTCTGTTTATAAATAGTACAATCCAGGCATGACAACAGCTGTAGCCAGCAGACTTGGAAGAGCATCCTGTCTATGACAAACTTCACAAATGATAGGACCTTGATTTGGCCCAATAGGAAAACCATACTCCCACTCCCAAGCCCTTCTTGGGCAGAGACCTGCCCTTCAGGTTCTGTCTTGGGCTCACTTTACTGCTCTCCTGTCACCAGAGAGTCCTTTTACTCCTCCTTGGCAGTAACTGCAGTGCACCAGGACCCTCTGTCACCATAACAATTGGGCTATCTGTCTTATTCAAACTGCCCTCTCTAACTTCAAGGGCCTCTTCCTACACACTGTCTAGAGCTCATCAATCCTTCCCTGAGCAATTCTACATTCTTTATTGGAGTAGTAACTCCTACACCCACTACTTCTAAAGCTGCTTCTCTGCCATTTTATTTCCAAAAGCCTGATGAACCATATATTCACCAGTTTGGGAAGAGGACTGAATTTGATACAGGTAAGCCTTTCTCTTTCAAAGACCAGCTAACCTGGTGATTAACCCCATTGTCT